ATTTGATATATTGTATCATATAGGTATATAAGTGATAAGAAATTTTAATAGTAATAAGTTTATAGTGAGAAATTAAGTTAATAATGAATAGAATAAGTAGGTACATAATATATTAGATGATTATTTACCTCTAGTTATTATTTATAAGTTAAATTGCTGCGCCCTAACAGGGTGATGTACTGTACTAGTAGTATAATACCACTATGTATATACATTTTGCAATAAATAAATAAATATATTCTTGCATTATATGGTAACACGAAACGTGAATGTAAGTATGTATGTATGTAGTTGGAAGTTAGTTTATTGTTGATGAAGATTTTTAGAACTTATTTCAGTTTAGGATATATTTTAGTCGCGTATCCACATATTCTATATCGATTATGATAAATTTTTAATACACTTTTGCTTTCGTGAACACTTATTTTTTTTTCTTAGCTACAAAATTTTTAAATAGCCTTTGCCCTGCAGTGGCAAATAATAAAAAAAAAAAATTCAATAGTAAATCACGTAGCGTTTTACAGTACAATTCTTAGGTACACTACTTACATGGCATTGGTTATGGGTAATAGCCCCTGTTCCACAATTGGGTACTTGCCTACTAGTCAAATTCAATACTTTTTTCCAAACTGTCAGAAACGACGGTTTTTTATGAATTTTGTACGAGATATGGTATTGTGACGTCACGATTTTTTAGCGTCAAACAGCGTACTTATTTCTTAATTTTCTGGAAAAATCTTAAAATTAAGTTGGTCATAAAGTCAATGAATGAAAGTGCGATTATTTTTTTATATTTTATTGTATTGAACAATCGAAATAATTTATTTTTCATTAAGGAAAGTACCCAATTATCAACGCATAGCATGTAAATAATTCGATTTATAAAATTGAACAAATTAATATACGTACATCTTTAATTGTACCATGAAGTAGACCTAGTTATTTAAATAAAATATATTTCCTACACGTAAACCTTGTGTTGGTAAACCGTGTCTACTTATCTTTCACCATGCCTATTTATCTTTTAAATTTGCTTTCGCAGTCGGCGAATAATATGATTTCTGTTTTATCCCATGGAAGCATTTAGTCAGGGTAAAAATTATTCTATCACCTAAATCAGCCCATACCGCCTGTACACCAAAGTTCATCAAAATCCGTTCAGTAGTTTCGGCTTGATTGACGGACAAACATCCAAAAAACTTTCATATTTATAATATTAGCGTGATGAATGATGAAAATGTACTATAAACAACATTGTAACGAGACTATACTACTATTACCGTGACTATACTATCCGAGGTTGTTGAAGCAATTAACAGACAATAATTAAAGAAAATATAACTAATCACGATAGGTATTCTATAAATATCTCTGCAATATTGCTAACTGGCTTAGTAATATTGTTCTTTGTATACACTCCAGTTGCTATCTACAACTTAAATAAAAAGTATATAAAGTAAAATATAAAGTAAATATATTCCGTAATGTTTTTATATACAATTAATTATTTTAATGCGTTTTAAATTAGTAAGTAGTAAGATGTGTTTCTATTTGTTTATTTAGTGTATTTTAATATTAGTTTTAGAACAATCTATTGTAATTATTTATAATTTATATGGTTTCGAAGCTATTTTTAGGGCAAACAAGGTACAACGTTACAAAATAAAATAAATAATTACAGTTTTTGTTAGTGACAACACATCTGTATCGTCCAGAAAGTAACTAATGGAGAATATCTATGGCATTGAGTATATCTGTGTATAAATGTTGAGTGCATGAAGAGCTAAATGAACAATTGTTAGTTGATTACTGTGAGTAGTTATTAAAGATTTCTATTTAAGTGGAACAATTTTTAATAATGGAGGGATTATGTATTTGTTTCAATTTTTTTTAAAAAAATCGCTGCGCCCTCTTGTATTTTCTTCTGTGTCGTCCAGATATACACATGACACCCAGACCAGGAACAACAATCTGTGGACACAAAGAGTTGTTCCGTGTGGGAATCGTACCCGCGACACGTTGCGCGGCAGCTAGTTGCCCAGCTACCGCGCCAACCGTGCAGTATTCTTAACCCTGACTATTATGTTATTAACATCATTTGAATTGGAATGATGACGGTATGAAAATTAAAAATCTAATTAGTCCGTAAGTTAGGTAATGAAAAAATATTAGATACATATTTTTTATTTTGTCGTACAATGAAAAAATACTTAGATAGAACGAATCAAAGTTTAGAAGTGTATAGATGTGATAGAAGTGACGTCACGCGACATTTCAAATCAATATATCGTCGAAAGCATTCGGTCTTCCTGACGAACATTACAATAAAATTAGTCATGTACCTTATTATGATCGCAAGAATTCGGTCAGTTAGTACAAAGTATTGGATATTTATTTATTTATTAACATCTTATATACAATCATACAAAGGCGGAGTTACGTCGAATGGCAGTCTCTATCAAACAACCACAGAGTGATACAAAAAAGTCCTAGTAGGATATTGAGCTGGGTATCCATCTATTAGCTTGCCTCTTAAGACTATGAGACTAACATAATAATGTAACTGGAAAAGCGTTTGTAGTTACAGTCTTGTACACTTAAAAACTTATAGGACACCATAGGTATTTTGAATTTCATTATATATATAATACATTCATTTCATAATAAATTCAAAAGACTTATGCTTATGTATTTTTAACCAGAGGCTGCAGACCTGACTATTAAACACCAAATGAATGCATCTGACTGATCAGGATCATAGATTAATTTGTCACAAATGATCACAAATGTTTTGTCTCCAAAAATATTTTAACAGTTTTCATTATTTTAGACAAGAGACATGGGTGATGCCATGGATAATGCAAAGAATAAAAATGACAAAACGGCAGCAACACTCGACGAAGCTATGCTGCTGTCAGGTAACAAATTTAAATTCTAAGTAAACCGTTAACATATTATGATTACAATATTCGTTGTCACAGTTATTTATGTTACTGTTACAAAATTGTGTAGTCGATTGCACACATGCTCACTGCATATGTATACACACTGCGCAAAGAATTGATGAATCACGATTTTACATAATAAATAACAAAAAAACAACAACATAACATCACGCCTTTTATCCCCGAAGGAGTAAGCAGATGTGTACATTATGACACTGTACAATGTAACACCCACTTTTTTCTTTTATGTTATGAGTCCCATGTAATAGGGGGTGAGCCTATTGCCATTTACCGGGCACATTTCCAGACTCCGTGCTACTACTGAGAATTTTTTTAAAAAAACCAGTAATACTTTGCCCGACCCGAGACCCCATGCCCGGCAGCCGCACTTGCGACTACTCGGCCAACGAGGCAGTAAAACAAAAAAACTAGCTAGATATTTAATTATTTTATTGTTGAAACACACTAAAAAGCATCATCTACTGTTGACATAGAACTCACAATACATCTTCTTCCTCTCAGGGTTTGGAATCTACAACATCCTACACATGCTGATGTCTGGTTTGATACTGATGGGAATGATAATGCATTGCCTTGTACTGGGGTACGTGATACCGGCAGCACAATGTGACTTGGAGCTCACAACGCAACAGAAAGGATGGCTGTCTGCTTTGCCATTCACAGGTTAGACAAAATGCTACACAACACGGAAAATAATAAAGAACTTAAGCCTCATTTTTTGTTATTAACTATTATTTGATCGTAACTCGTGTCTTCCGGAGTGTTGTCATCAGCGTGAAACAGTTTTACTGCTCAAAAGAGACTTATTTTCACATGGATAAGGAAAAGGTATCAATCATCACACTTGCTTCCTGAGTTTAGCTGTTTATAGTCTTATAACTAAGGTACTTTGTTTAGTTATACGATCATCAGATCATTATACATCAATACATAGTATAAAACAAAGTCGCTTTCGCTGTATGTCCGTATGTATGCTTAGATCTTTAAAACTACGCAACGGATTTTGATGCGGTTTTCTTTAATAGATAGAGTGATTCTTAAGGAAGGTTTGTATGTATAATACATGCATATTGCACCCGTGCGAAGCCGGGGCGGGTCGCTAGTA